ATAGTGTCGCCCACGCTGCCCCTGCCCTCCATGCCAGAGCCACTTCCAGCCCCCACATTGGAGCAGAGGTGGCCCCTCCAGCACTCTGGAATCTCTCTGAATTGTGGCTGGGCCACAGGTGGAGGATGGGTGCAGCAGACTGTGTTTCAGTTAGATTGAATGGATGGAGGCCCAGGTGCCCTCATGACAGAATTCCCACCGCAAACGTCGCATGAGGTCAGCAGAGTCCTAGAGTCCTCAGATACTGCGGGTGCACAGCACAGTCTGATATTTCACTGTAGCACCCAAGCAGAGGAAGTGCAAGAGCAATAGAGCTGGCAGGTCATCCCAGCTTGGGCATCACTGGGCGACGACACAATGTCCTGGACCATAAGGAGACAGGGAGTGGCTTCAGACTATGAAATCACACTGCTCAATGTAGACAATGGTGATTGCATCAGAGCCTTCTCTGAGCTGCTCTAACACCTGCTGGACAGGAAAAAAATTGGTAAGAGCCAATGGCCAGAGATGTCAAGGTGGGAAAATGAAGGTAGTGCTTGTATTTGGTGTTGGAGCGGGTTGATGCTCAAGCAGTGTCATCAAAATGAAAAGCTCCCTGAAAGGGAAACAATGAAGTTTATCTCCAGGGGTTTGGGGGGCTTGACTTTCATTCTTGCAATCTCTCAATATTAGCACCTGGGCCACTCAGTTCTCATTATGGTTAAAAGGGGCCTCATTGGTCATGAAAACCAGGCCATTTCACAGTTCACAGCACACACGCCGGGCCCCGCATTTCTGTATGGGGCGAGGGGTGTCTCATTGGGGAAGAGAGAGCGACAGGATTCCCCAGTTCGATCCTGTTCCCCACTAGAGACCTTGGGAATAAATTCATCTTCAGGGGAGATATGTTTAAAACACCCCATTGAATGGGCTGTACCAGAGAAGCTGGGAGCTATTGGCTGCTGCATGTCCGAAATAGGAAAGGGAGTGTGTGTGGGAATGGAGCACGGCAACCATTCCTGAGGGACGAGCTTTATAAATCAAAGCCAAGCTGTTGAGGCCCAAGCTCCACACATCCTGATTCATGGGCCTGCTCTGGAAAGGCCTCAGTGGCTGTCTTTTCATGGCCACAGAGAAAGTGTCCCACCCTTCCCCCACTGAGGCGTCTCCCGCAAGTCCCCACATTCCCTTCCATCGCCCATAACTCACCAAAGTCCCCGAGGCAACAGGAAACTGCTGGGACAATCCAGACTGGAATCGCGGGTGAACTGTTATCTGCCAATCAAATGCCTATGCCAAAAGAAACCCCACAAAACAAGATGTCTGGTGTGAATCTCCTGATCTCGTTAACCCATGGGCTCTGCCAGACTAGGCCCGGCATGCAATCACCGGCTCCATGCCTTGCCTAGCAACCAGGCACTGAACAGCCTGAGGCCTCACTGGAGAAAAAAGGCCCATTCTTGTCTGTGAAAGATTCATCGTTTGGGCTGAAAGTGGCCCCTCCCCTCTTTCAAATACTTGTCAGCAGGGAGAATAAAGCTTAGATACTGGGCTGATCAGATCATGGCTAATCTGTTATTCGTTGCCACTAAAACTGCCAGAGGACTTTCAAACAACTTTACTGAGAGTGTGTGTGTGTCTGGAAGGAAGCCGGCGGGAGGCAGAAGGACTCTCAGGCCATGATGCATATCAATGAAGGCTGCTGACAGCACAGCCAGACATGCATTTCCCTCAATGTCTGTTGTGGTTTGCAGGAGGGGCACTTCCAGGTTGCAGCTCTCTGTGGAGACATACCAAGCAGCTAAATCCATAATGCTGCCTCTGCTCCACCCCAGAAATGATGGAGGATTCAGCTCTGACTAAAAAGTCAATGGGGAAAGAGGACACAGGCCTGTTTCCAGCCACGTGGGAGAAGCATGTAGAAGGTTAATATCAGGGATTGTGATATCACTCAGGTGAGTCAGCCACAGTATAAATGTCATAAGAAGCCTGGCCAAATGCAAGAGCCCCCTCTTATAAGAACTTGGCTACTTGCAAGACCTGCGGTGCTTTCATCGACGCTTCCCTGCAGTTTGTTGAAATTTCCACTTTGAAAGCATTTAATTGCCTGGTGCCTATAGCCAAAGTTCACAGTGCAGCACCAGCCAAAGCACATATGTCTCAGAAAAAGCAAAGAAATAAGAGTGCAGAAATTTCACTCATTGGCCCAGATCTGCTTTTTTTTTTTTTTTTTAATAAACATCAGTATACATCAGATTGGACTTCACTACCATCAGCAGAGTTGCAGTATTGTAAAACTGATGTGAAATCAGACGCTGATTTTTTTCACTGGGACATGGGGTTCAGAGAATGCCACAGAAGAAGCAGCTCATGTACTAACCAACCTCAGATGAGGAATATTAGTGCTAGAGACAACAATTTGGCTGGAATTAAGTAGTGGAACTGGCTGAAAAATGTGCCTTTTGTCTACAGAAAATGTTGAATTTTTGCCAAATGATGCCCCCCTCAACAAAATAAAACAAAAACTAGTTTTCAGTATTTGGCTGAAATATTTTGGTGTCTGGCCAAAAAAAAAGTTCGACTTAAATTTGAAATTTTCTGTGAAAGCAGATACTTCTTGGAAAACTTTCTTAGTCAAAATTTCAAATTTTCCATAAAAAACCCCAGACAAACAGGTTTTGACAAGTCCTATTAAGCAGGGAGCAGAAGGGATAATCTTTTTAATGTCTGAACCTCCATCTCCATTGGTAACACCCCTTGCTAGGCCTGTTTTGGACGCTCTAAATCTACGCTAGCTTTGCCAATTCACCTCAATCCTGTCCCTGTCATAATACCCCCTGCTATGCCTGTCTTGTGCTTCCTACACACAGTTTTATTGATGCATCTCAAACACCACCTGCAGACTGATAAAACCCTCAATCTCACAGTTCTACCACGCTTGAGATTTGGGGGAGATGGATGCTTGGGGCGGGCCAAGTCTGGTGAGGATGGGATAAGGGGTGTCCACTTAAACTTGGCGCCTGGATTGAATCCTTCCAGACTCAACAATCTCCTCTTAATCAAGATTAATTAATGACCTTGTTGAGGATCTCATCCTCAGTCCTTCCCTGCTCATGTACCAGCCCGAGGGAGGGGGTGGCGGGGAGAGATTCAGGAGAAGAGGGTAGAGAATTAATTGGATATTGTGCTGGGAATCGCCTCCTGGTTGCTGTCAATCTTTGAGTGAACAGCCTCTTGTCTCACTCAATGGGAACTTTATATGCTCCTTTAATCCTCCAGTCTGTATTGTCAGAGCTTCTCTCTCCTCCTGTCTCTTCTTCCCGCCCCAGGACTTCTGATGACCCCAGCTGGCAATCTCCTGTCTGACGCAATACAAAGAAGCCCCTTAACTAACACACTGTGATCTATACAGGCAATAAAGGCTCCCCTTTACAAGGGCTTGCAGGCAGAATATATGCAAATGCCCGTCCCTGTGTGGGTGGTTAGGTGTGTCACAAAAGCAATGACACAGTCTGGCATGATTCACTTCACACTCTTTGCAGCAGAGGGCCAGCAGGACTGCAGTAGTGGGACCTGCATGCTACAAGTCAGGGGAGGGGTACTTGGACTGAGCTGTGCATGTGGCCTAAATTAGAGGCAGCAGGGACTGCAAGTGGGAACTGTGGTGCAGCCCAGAGTAGTGCATGGGAGGCCAGGATGGAAGAGAAGGGAGTTGAGCCAGGCTGCATCGGCTGAGCAGTAGGAGTGTAGGGCACAATGAGAGAGCAGAGGATAATGGCAGAGCTATAGGGAGACCCAACTTGAGGTTGCCCCAGGTCCCTGGCACATGATTGAAATAAACAGAATAATGTTCCTTATAGTCAGTGTGGATCTGGGGGCAAGGGATACAATCAACTGTGTTCAGTGTGCTGGACAGACCCATGTGCATTTGC